GGCAATTACCAGAAACAAAAGGATTATGAGTCTTGTAACAACTCTTAAAGCTAGGGTCCTAGATCATAAAACTCAGGCAATGAAGATGTCTCAGAATCCAGTCGAGTCTTCTAGAACATCAGGTGGCTTTTCTCTTTATCCTAATATCCACAGTTCAACTTGCCCTGTAGTGTGCAAATGCAGCAAGAAGTACAAACTCCCATTGGCCAGCCTAGAGGAAATCAAGGAGGTGTTCAAAGGGGCATTGAGGTTCTTGTCCAATCTTGTCATGATCTTGTCAGGACTGTGTTGTTGGCAGGTAGGATGTGCACTGGAAATATCCTCAGTAATATCCTTAAAATTACCCTACCAATGTCGGTTCAATACTGCTGGCAATTTTTCTCTGCTTTGTGGGTAATATCACAAAACATTTTTGCTAAACTCCATTTTTATTATGGCCCTCTCCTTACGTGATAGCAAAGCATGTCAAGGCTCTTTAATTTGTTTTAATTTTTATAGAGGTTCCTGTAACGGTCAGGACACTTGTTTCTAAAGCATTTCAAAGTCATAGACTAACCCCAAATCATATACCTATCCTATTAGTATAAATATTTACTTTGGTTGTCAGATATGGGAGAGGACAATTAATGTAGCCAAAATGAATAGATACTACTTCTGAGAAAAGCTTATACTTCAAGGGTAAATTTGAATCTGATGACATAGCCTGGTTGGCAATTTTTAGCTTTACTTTCTAAGTATGAATAATCCACACACACAATTAAATCAGTTATCCAAGGGAGTCTTTAGAAGGTCTGTGCAGTGTATGGATAGTTCCCTGAGGTAAGCAATTATGAGCTTTTCCTTTTCGGGGTGAGGGAAGGAGGTGCCTGGGTTTCAAGCGTTGCAGTACTGGTCAGTGATGTGTGAAGGGAAAGCAACAGTACTTCAGAGGTTAGGTGACTCGCTGAAAAGTGCTGAGGGTGCATTGTCATTGGACGAGTCTATACAGAGCAGCACACAGGAAACCATTAAGTTTAGTGGAGACCCTAGAACTAAATCAACTGCAGTTTTCACACTTTTGTTGCTGCGGCTATAGTTCTTAGACAAGGTGGATTTATGTGTCTTGGCCCCTGGATCTAACGAAAGATGGAAATAAGCAATGGGCCTCTGGTGATTTCTATTTAATTGAATCAGTTTCCTGGTGCCTGTTCAGATTTACAATAAAAAGAAAAGAGGTCGGAGTAAGAGGAGGATTTGTGAATGTAGAATAATGGAAACAATCTTGTGGAAGATACTGTACCAGTCTTTGTGTCTAAACATGATTCTGTTTCTTTTCACTTGAAAAACATATATTCATCGAAAGATATTTAATAGAATTTACTTATATATAATTAACCAAGTCAGATCAACTCCCTGATCTGTCAGGTTTGTGTTAACATCAAGCTTGGTAGATAAAAATGCTCATAATTATTTTGAATTAAAGTTTGGAGAATTTTTAGACAAACCAAATCATTCCTATTGCCTTTACTTTTATGTGGTGAACAGTAAATCTCTGTGTTATCTGATGACCACTTTAGAAACCCACAGAGAGCTTAGGCATAAAATACATCTTAATAATTTTATTATTTTAGATTTAGGTATGATTTTGGGAAAGGCAAAATCATAAACAGTTTTTAGAGAAGACAAGATATGTGATAAGTATCTACAAATAGGAAATCATTTGATGAAAAAAGGAATCTGGGCAAAAATAGCTTAGCTTACCCAAAGTCCACTTTTACCTTTATTTTACATTATTCGTGAACAAATTGCTGTAATTTATCTTTATATGTATGTATTTAGGCATGTGCATACATATTTAATAAATTTAAAGTTTATAGCTTTAAAATAGAACTAATTCTTCAGTATATTAAATTTAAAAAGTACATCTCATACTAAATTATCATCGGAATAAGCAATTTTATTAACAAACAGAAAATCATACCCATTTTGCTGTATATATATTTGTATTTCTCTGTAATTATTGTACCTGGTATAATTAACTGTTTATATTATCTTTAACTAAAGTGATCAACAAATTTTCTTTCTTCCAGAAAGCAAAGAAAATTAGAGAACAAAAGATAGAGAATTGTTTAGCTATTTTTTCTCCATGAGCTCTTATTTCATATCATTTGAATAATTTTGAGGAGGAAAAAATAACTATAAACAATATTATCCAAAGGCATTTTCATCATTTGTTAATTGATTGCCATTCTAACAAATAAGAGCAAAATTTCTATTTAGTCATTAATGTATTTTATCTGTTTCTTGGAAACCCTCCAGACTTCCAAAGACTCTTTATTAATTAACTTAATTACTTACCTAAGGTCTTTAAAGTTAATTAAGGGAGAAAAGTTCAGATGTAGAAAATGATTTTGACATATATACACACACAAAGAGAGTGATAGATAGTTTGGACAGTAACTTGGACCCCTGAAAATTTTATCAAGCTGTGTGATCAAAAAGCCAGTACTGACTGCTCCTCTAAGTATGGAAGGAAGGAGAGGATATCACCTATATTAAACAAATGATCTATTTTTTAAGACAAATACAACAAATAATCTCCTCATGGGGGTTTCTTCGCTTTTTGTTCTAAAGGACCTGCCAAATAAACAATCTGGCTCATGTCGAAAGCTCCCCAAACTGGCCAGTGCAATTCCAAATTGTCCTTGCTGAAATCACGCCAGTTAGAATGATAGTATTGTAACAAGAAAAGATGAAGAAAAACACGTGTTTGGCCTGGAAGAGGTGCCATTTTAGATTGAGAAGACCTTAAGAGAACTGGAATGGTCTTTAAAGCTAGTGCTTGGGTAACTTCATCTCTCTGAGCTTGACCAAAGGGCAATGCTCACCAATGAGAAGCCAGACAAAACCTCCTGAAACAAGGCAGATGAAATTAAATAAAGCAATTCTCAGAGACACAAACACAAGACTAAGGGAGAAGTCCTTATAAGGTTTCGAAATGATGATGTGAGGCAAAGGAATGCCAATTTGGGGAATATCCTGGGTCCAGCTTGAGGATGGACTTACCAAGCTTGGCAGGTAGACTTTAAGGAGGTCCCCAAGATCCTTGCCCCCTGGTAGTCACACCTATGTGTAATTCCCCTCTTCCTTGAGTGTGGGCGGGACTTGTAACTTGCTTTTAATCAATGGAATGCAACAAAAGTGATGGAATGTACATGACTGCATTTACACGATTACCTAAGAGTATAGCACCCATCTTGCTAGAGTCTCTCTCTCCAATGCTGGTTTTAAAGAAGCAACTTGCCATGAATCCTACAGCCACAAGGAAATGAATTCTGCCAACAACCTGAGAGCTTGGAAGCAGATACTTTCCCGGTCAAGGCTCTGACGGGAACCCAGCTTCGGCTGGCATCTTTTTTTAGCCTTGTGAGACCCTCAGCAGACTACCCAGCTAAGCCCAGACATCTGACCCACAGAAATGGTGAGATAATAAGTATGTGTTGCTTTTAGCAGCTAAGTTTGTGATAATTTGTCACACAGCAATAGAAAACTAATGCACTAGCCTATGCCCATATTCTCCCTATAGACTCTTCCTATTCTAGACAATTTTATTTCTAAATATTCAACTTAACATTTAATCCTTTCCTCTAGTCATGGGCCGTTGAGGTTAAAATTACTTACCCAAACTTTATTAGACTCTTTGGGTAAAAATTAGCCAATATTCTTTCCCCCATTTTAACCAACATTAATGTTAGCATAGCAAAAGAGATGGCAATAAATTAGCAGGGGCCAGCTTTTATTTACAGTTGTCCTCAACCCAACTGCAGCAAGGACACCTTTTGTTGTGGCAGACAGGTCTCTCTCCAATTAGAATGAGCTCTTTGAAGTTAGGGTCCTTCTGCCTTATGCTCCCTCTAGGCCTTACACGTACTGGATATTCATTAATTGTTGAATTAAAACTGTAATTGCCTTTAAGCTCATTAATTAATGATATCTGGCTTCATTTCAGGTGGCACTTCTGCTTGATGCCCAAAAGCATCAAGACCTATGACAGGATGGACCTTGGGACCACAAACAATGAGTATGCCAGTGTTATTGCCGCCCAAGCAAAATATTACAAGAGACGAATGAAAATAAAGGGTAACTAGAATTCAGAGATTCTTCACCATCATCTTCAATTAGCTGCCACAGAATTTCCCAGTACTGCACCTCTCCTAAAATTCGTACTTCTCCCCACCCCTCAGGTATCTGAAACAGAAAAAAAGGAAATAAAATAATTCTCCCTAAAAGATTTCTCCCTTCTTCTTTTTTTTTTGCTGAGGAAGATTCGCCCTGAGCTAACATCTGTGCCAGTCTCCCTCTATTTTGTATGTGGGTTGCTGCCACAGCACGGCTGCCGACGAGAGGTGCAGGTCCTTGCCCAGGAACCAAACCTGGGCTGCCAAAGTGGAGTATACTGAACTTAACCACTAGGACACGAGGCCGTCCCCCCTTTTTCTTTTTTTAAACAGCAACCTCAACTGTTGGCAGAGGTTTCTTAGGAATTCAAAGAACATCAATAAAGTTTAGACCAAAGATTTATCATTAGAAAAGAGACACTATTTTTGGTACTAAATTTAAGAGTAAAATGAAGACAAGTCCACATATGTATTTATAGACACTACAGATCTAGCCATACCCAACGTTTCACGACTTTGGCTGAATCTCTCTTCTCTAGCAGAAGAGACTGAGCTCCTGAAGGGCAGGGACCATGTTCTGGTCAGCTCTGGATTTCTCCAACACACAACACACTGTTCACTCAAAGGGCCACTCACAGAATTTGCTGTTAATTCAATTAAACGAGAAAAAAATATTTTTAAAAAGTTAATGACAATTGCTAAGGTGACATCTGAACCTAGACGTTCATATAATGTCATTCTTACCTATTTTGCAGTGAAACTATTAGGGGGAACAGGGAGAGAATTAAACCAAATAACAGCACTAAAACCTCCTAGTTTATAGTAAGGAAGAATCACACCATGTTTAGTTGGTGAAAATGACTAGTACTTAAAATATATTTTAATGAAAACACTTTCTCACCATCTTTAAATAAAAACGATCTGCACTTTTTAACCTGAAACTGCCCTGGCATTAGGACTTAATTGCTTCCGGGTCCACAGGGCTTAGATGCCATCGCACTACCAACTCCCCAGTGCTCTTGAGACACGTGTTAGCCATGTCCTCCTCGGCTGGAAGTCCTTGTGGCAACCTCAGGGGCTTGATTCTGTGACATAAGAAAATGCTTTTAGAATTATACGAGGTAACAAATTTTTAAAAACTGCTGAAATAACAAATAACAAACCTTATCAAATGTTTAACCACTTTCAGTTTTGCATTCACTGAAGGAATATTCTTGTGAACTTGAGGAGTATGTGCCTACAAATAAAGGAAACAATGTTATGGATCACTTTCAAAAGCAGATGGCCCCGTGTTTCAATAAAATGTTAAGCTGAAGGCTCATTCTGTTTAAATCAAACTTTCCAATAAATTACACTGAATACATTTAAACAAAAGAAATAATAAAAATATACCTTAAAGTTTAAAAAGTATAAAATTTTAAGAAAATTTAAACATTAAAGGTGACTAAAATAATTGCATACTTTTTCTAATCCAAGCATCTTTATTATATCTTTTTCCCAGTATGGACGTCTTTTGGTACTTTTTATTCTGGTAACAATATGCAGTTTATGAGGGTGCTGTGGATCTCCACCATATTTTTCATGATCTGCGGGTGAAGGCTGAAAAACCTAGAAAGGAAGAATTACAAATGGTAAATTTTCAACTTACACAGTTTCTATGTACCTAACCCTCAAACAACTACATAATGATCTCATCCCGAATCTTCCTATAATGCTTATCCTCAAATTGAACATTTCTACCAGTCTGATGTCTCAGACAGATGGAGTCTAAGAATTTCATACTCTTAGGAAAATATCAGACAGGCAAGGATTTTTTTGTTTTGTTTTGTTTTTTTAAGAGCAAAACAGAAGTAATCAGATGACACTAAAGAGTTCAAATGCCAAGAGAATATATTAGCACTATATATGCTGGGCATTGGGCTGCAATCCCCTCCCCCATTCAAGTGGGGGAACAAAGATAAATTTACAATGACACATGAGCATTATAAAAAAGTATGTACAAAGTACTATGAGAATACAGACAAATGACTGCCTATTAGGATCAGAAACGGCTTCACAGAGCTGACACTTGCACTGATTCTCTAAGAACCAAAAAGGTTCTAGGGAGCTATCCCACAAGAAAACTTCCATAAGTACATAAAATGTACTGAATAAGGACGTACATTATAACACCATTTGTGAGACTCAAAAATTTGAAGGCTACATTCATGTTCCTTAATAGAATAAATAAATTATGATTCATACATTCTAAATAAAACTAATAATAAATCTAAATAAAATATGATGCAACTAAATAAATTATGATGTCTCCTACTGGATACAATGCTGCCATTAAAATGAATAAGGTTTACTATCTTTGCAGGTACTAACATTGAAGGATGGCCCTAATATATTCTGGAGCAAAAACCCCCAAATTTCCACACCACTATAGGATCTTGTATTTGTTTCCTCTGTACCAAACACATGAGTGTGTATATATGATATAGTCTATAAATATTGAGTCTAAGAATCATATATAATATGTATATATGCTTATATATGTATAAAGGTCTCAAAGAGATTAGATCAAGAGTCATAACTGTGGAATCAAACCAAGGAAGGACAAAAAAAAAAGGTACTTTAATCAAAAAGGATATTATTCCATCATTAACTTATCCACTGAGAGGTTCACATTATATTGCTAAATGAAGAAAGCAGCTAGACAAGCATTACATATGAGTCAATTCACATCTTTAAAAACATACAACAGAAAAGGATGTGGAAGATGTTGACAATAGCTGTCTCCAGGTGTGAAGGATTAAAGGTGCTTTTCAGTTCTTTTTGCTCATATTTTTCTGGAGATTTTGAAAAGATGTAGGGTGAGAAGAATAGCGGAAGGTGGAGGATTAGGCAGGTGTGCCAAAGAAAAGAAGTTACAAAGAAATGGTGTGAAGAGAAATGAAATATTTGGGAAAACCAAGTGGTTCCATGTGGCTAAAGTAGGAAAAAGCAGGAAGAGCAATGCAGGGGATGAAGTTCAACTATGCTCAACTATGCTGAGCCTTTACAGATTTCCAGAACGGATACTGAGCTGTTGAAGATTTGAAGCAACGTGACCATATTTCAAAGAGATTCAGAAAGAGAACTCTTACAAGAGAATAAAATGAACTGGAGACGGGAGACTAGTGCAAGGAAATCAAGTTAGGAAGCAGTTATGGCCATGGGTTGGAGCCTGAACTACAGTAGTCGTAACAGAAAAGGACTGATTTGGGGACTTTGGGCAGTAAAATAGATGGGCTTGTGGTGGGTGAAGGAGAAAGGGGTTGTGATTGACTCAGAGGCCTCTGGTCTGGGAAATCAGGTAGAGGATGGTAACATTAACTGACATAACTAATACAGGACCAGCACCCTCTTTTTGTTTGGTTGTTTGGAAGGAAAGTAAGACAATGAGGTTCACTTTAAATATGTTTAACTTGAAATACCTATGAGTTACCTGCAGCAAGGTCTAGAAACCATTTGAGAGTACAGGATAAGTTCAGAAGATGGCAAGGGCTGGAGATACACATCTCAGAGTTATTTCTATAAAGTTTAAATGTTTTCACATTTACTACAGCTGGTGATCAAAATCACTGCCTTGCACATTTTAAACGAATGCTAACATTTGCGTCTATCCTTTTCTTCTGGAAGTTTACAGACTAAGAAACATGGAAAGACATATGACAATACAGTTGCGGAAAGGACAGCAGCGGAAAGACCATGACTTGAAAAATAAAGTGGTTTCCGATAAAAGAACATCACGCACATTAAAGGTATCAAAATAGTCAATGGTAACACTATTTTATCTTTAAAAAAAAAAAATCAATAGAGAATGGTGGTTGCTGGGGAAAGAAGGATTGGGGAATTAGTGTTTAATGGGTACAGAGTTTCAGTTTTGCAAGATGAAGAGTTTTGCAGATGGATAGTGGTGATGGTTGTACAACAATATAAATGTATTTAATACCACTGGACTGTACACTGAAAAATGGTTAAGTAAATTTTACGTTATATGTGTTATATATTTTGTGTTATATTTTATCACAATACAAAAAACTGGGGGAAAAAAAAACCCAGGCTTCACAAAACTAAACATAGTCTTTAGCATACAACCCAGCAATTACATTCCTCATTTACCGCAAATGAGTTGAAAACTTATGTCCACACAAAAACCTGCACACAAATGTTTATAGCACCTTTTTTCGCTACTGCCCAAAGCTTGAAGCAACCAATGTATTCTTCAGCAGCTGAATGGATAAACAAACTGTGGTACATCCATACCATGGAATATATTCAGCAATAAAAACAAATGAGCTGCGCGGCCACAAAACTCAGGTTACAAAAATGTAGCTTTCATTATTTCCAGAAGCTTGTTTGATTTCTGAGTCCCCAGCCACTTTTAATGGAAAACAACTTGATCTATTCAAATTCATGTTTTTCCTTAGTTCCAGCCAAAGATTTTCTAGCTCACTTATGATTTATCATTCTTTTGATTAAATATACAGTTAACTAAAAAAAAAAAAGAAAAAGAAATAAGCTATCAAGTTACAACAAGATATCAAGAACCTAAATGCACATTGCTAAGTCAAAGAAGCCAGTCTGAAAGGGCTACATACTGTATGATTCCAACTATACGACATTCTGGAAAAGGCAAAACTGTAGAGACAGTAAGAAGATCAGTAGGGAGGTGAGAGCGAGGGATGAACAGGCGAGGTGATGAAACTACTCTGTATGATACTGTAAGGGCAGATAAAGGCCATTACGCGTTTGTCAAAACCCACAGCATGGACCACACACAGAGTGAACCCTGATGTAAACTATGGACTTTAGTTAATAATAATGTGTCAGTATTGGTTCATCAATTATAACAGATGTATACCAATGCAAGACGTCAATAGGGTAACTGTGTATGTCGGGGGAAGGAGTATACGGGAACTCGGTACTTTCTGTTCAATTTTTCTATAAACTATAAACTGCTCTAAGAAAGTCTATTCATTTTAAAAAAACAAAACACAACACAAATCCATAGAAGGCTTAGCCAGCATTTTCTGAAAGAATGATACATACGCATAAATCTAGCAGAGAAAACTCACAGATCCAAAGTAGTAACAGTTGACGTAGAAATTAAACATGAAGAGCCACAGACAGTGTGAGCAGGAGGAAGACCCACTGTTTCCTCAGGACAATGGTGATAGGAAAACACAAAATATTAAGGAAAAAAACCATAAGCAGGAACAAATAGATTCTGAGATGATAAAAACCCACTACTATGAAGGCCAGTGGCATATTTTTATTTGTAATAATCATCATTTACATAAATCCTACTATGTTTTAAACCCTTCACTCCTACCTACACCCACCAATAATTTAACATGAAAGTTTTTAATATTACAAAAATAGGTACCTTTTAAACCATAACATGTTTTAAAAAATAGTAACATTGAAAAACAAAAAAAAACACCTTGCTCTTACTTTATCTGGAATTCTTGACCTGGTAAATTTGTGACGAATCCAATCTGTACAAACGAGAGACTCCACACCTTTTGTCACAGTCTAAAATATGAAATAAAACATTTGTTTTTTAGAACTCTGTCTAGTGCAGAAAATCCGTACCAACCACTTTTTAGGTGACAAGTCTGTTCTTACCTAACCTGTAATTATTAAATGTTTATCTCAGCCCGCTAGCTGAAAGAAAATATCTCATCTTACCACTAACATATCATAAAGCAAAAGGCACATAAATATAGACTTTCAGACCAGGGGTTGGCAATATTTTTCTGTAAAGAGCCAGACAGTAAATATTCCCAGCTCTGGGGCTATACGGTTTCCACTGTGAAGTCTCACCTCTGCCACTGCAGGGCGAAAGCAGCCATGGACAATACATAAACAAATGGGCACGGCTATGTTCTAAAAAAACTTCACTTACAAAAACAGGCTATGGGCTGAATTTGGCCAGCAGGGCCTAGTTTGCCAATCCCTGCTCTAGACAATGTGCAATAATTCACCTTCAACAATACAATGTAAAAGAAAGCCAAAATGAGTTTCCAGTTTTCTTTCTAGTCCTAACAGTGGCATCACTCCTAGTTTCTCTCTCTCTTTCCCTTTTTACAATCCTCCAGTCCTGTTTCTCTCCGGCTGCTGAAGAAAAACGATTCAATACCAATCCTTCATACCAGGAAACTCCTCTCTGGATGGGCAATAATCATTCCCTTCCTGCCCTCCCTGTACTGCACAGATGGCATAAACAATCAGAGAATAAGCAGGAGAGAACGGGGGAGGGAAAGGAAAAACGGGCTTTGGCACACCAGAAACACTGGGCTTCTGATCCTGTTTCTGTGCCTACCAGCTGCGAGACACAAGACACTCCACCTCTTGGAGGGTCAGTTTCCTCAACTACAAAAAGGAAATAACACTGACCACACAGGATTAATCTGAGGTTAAGATAACACATGTAAAGCAACTGACATTATGATTATCTATAACCAGATCCGGCCCTTCTATGAATAGATCAGGCTGCACCACTGCCATTTCTAAAAGAAAGACAGGAAGGAAATACAAGAAAATACAAATATTAATGGTCTCTGGGAGACTGTTTCTCTTCCTTCTGCTTGTCTATATTTTTCTAATTGTCTATGATTGAAAACGTACTCTTTTCATAATTGAAGGGAAAAAAACCTAAAACTTTAAAAAGATTAATGCAGACCAAGGGGAATCAATACTGGCCATTTTTTACCAGCATATTCTCCAGGAAAAGATCTTTTGTGATTCCAAATCTTTAGGGATAAAACAGCAGATAAACCATAAACAAACAAAATTAGCTCCCAACATTAAAAAAGAAATTTATATAAAAAAAAGGAACTTATGAAGAATTTAACTTGCCTGTATGTTTTGTTAATTAGAAAAGAGAAAGAAAAAGTTTTCAAGGAATAGAAGAAAGATAATTCTTGAAAAGAAACACTTACTTGTAGTCTGCCTGGGGACCTCTGCACTACTGAGCGCAAAATCCCTGCCATGAGTGTGGGGATCACTCGTTAGAGGCTGTGAGAAGTAGAAAATAGATCCGTGGGTCAAATACGTCTTGGAAATGGAAAGGTGCCCCCGTCTGTAGTATTAAAAAACTAAACAAGTTAACTGTAAACTTGATTGAAGTTTAACAGTAAAATTGTGGTTATTTTAAAAATAAGGGCAAGAATTAAGTTAAAACAAATGTTTCATTCAGAGTTCAGCAAAACCATAGGTAGTAACTATACATTAACCACATCCTATTTTCACCAAATGAGTTAGAGCCCAGGTTGATTCAACAAAAATGGGAAATCGGGGTTACTATTCTTTAACAATGAAGGCAGATAAAGGATGCTTTGGAGCCAGCCTGGTGGCGCAAGCGGTTAAGTGCGTGCACTCCGCTGCGGCGGCCCGGGGTTCGCCGGTTCGGATCCCCGGCGTGCACCGATGCACCCCTTGGTAAGCCATGCTGTGGCGGTGTCCCACATAAAGTGGAGGAAGATGGGCACGGATGTTAGCCCAGGGCCAGTCTTCCTCAGCAAAAAGAGGAGGATTGGCAGATGTTAGCTCAGGGCTGATCTCCTCACAAAAAAATAAATAAATAAAAATAAATTAAAAAAAAAAAAAAAGAATGCTTTGTTATAGAATCACAAAAAATTAAAGAGCTGGAAAGGACTGAAGAAATCCCAACTCCTATAATTAGAATTGACAACCCTCTTACTTTATGCATGAGGAAAATGAGTGCCAGAAAGTTCAGTCATTTACCCAAGGGCATCCAGCTATCGAGAGAGTATATGGTCTGGAACCCAGTTCTCCTAATTCTTAGTCCAGTGCATTTTCACTAAATCACAACATCTGTTAAAAAGTAAAACAGAACTCTCTTTTTTGGTTATCTGTATTTTTAAACTATTCTTAACAAACATGCACTGCTTCTATGACCTAAAAAAGTCATGTTTACTTAGACAGAAAACAATTATAGCCTACTATACTGACATATATTGAAAGCAGAAAGATTAAGTTGATGAACTACATGTATATTTTGGATAGGTTACTTAATTTGTGTTTCAATTTTTCCCCAAAAAACAGAAAGAAAATAATACCTATCTCGCAAATGAGTTATGCTAAAAACACCTACAGCAGTACTTGGCACACAGTAAGCCCTCAATAAATGGTAGCTTTTACGATCATAAAACTATTACAAAGCTATAATAAGACTACCCTAAACACACCAAAATAGGGTAAGCGCCGTATTTCAGTGTCCACCAGATTCTGGCTCACTCAAGCTCTGCAAGTCTTTCCTGTGATGTGGACAACACAGTGGAGTTGTGGGAATCAATACAAGACATCCCGTGAAAAAAGCCAGTCTTCAGAAAAGTTCTCAGCAACTGAACCAATCTTTCAAATTTATGGTTCAGTTTCAGAAGAGTTAACTACTAAATCCTTAGTGCCCTGAAAGCAAGAATTTCATCTTGTTCATCTTCCACTCTCAGCATCTAGCACACAATCTGAGGAAACAGTCGGCATCCACTGTTTGTTGATGAATGCATGAATAAATTGATGGGTTAGAGCTATGGTCTGCTCAACTCAGAATTCAGAAGTACATCAGAATTTCCTAACTGTCATTCAGGCTTCAGACCTCAAACGTTACAATACATCATAACAATTTCTAGTTCAAATCATCCCCCTTTGCTTGGCTGGTTGTTTATATATTTTGTATCGAGGCTTCCTTAGAAGAGATGCTTTACTTCCTTAGGAGAGATGCTTAATCCTCTGGCCCTCTAGTCAAATAGATAATGCTAAATTATTTTCTCTACCACACTTCTTTCTCCCAAGTTAAGCATTATATACTAACCCAATGCATTTAGCTTCACACCTTGTTAAATCTTTCTCTTATCACTTAGATTTCAACAAAAGCCTCCTAATTGGCTTTCCTGCTTCCCTTCCAACTTCCCTAAGGTCTTTTCTCCAAAGCAGCAATCATCTCATTAAATCCTAAATCAGATCATGTCAACTTCTCTGCTTAAAACCTTCCAATGAGCCAGGTTTCTCACTGCTGGAGTGGGAGGTTACACACAAGCAAGAGGGGAACGCTAGAATGATCCATGTGATCCAATGATACAGGATTAGAGCCAAATCTCATGTTTAGCTTAATATAGACACTAATGGGTATAGAAATAATTATAGATATGTATGTACACGGGGGTTAGCTCTGTTAGTTGAGAGGACATAAAAGCAATGGCATCCCAATAGCAATGAGCACACTCAGTGCCCAGATCTTAGTTTCTAACAGAATTCTCTAATAAAAGGAACCAGGGCTCCTTGGAGAAATGGCTGATTATAGGGCTGCAGCAGGGAACATATAAAGATAGCCTAGAGCATCTTGTAGTGCTAGAAAGGAATTCCTCAAAAAATCAAAATGATGGGGGTACGTCAAGTCAAAGGGACACAGGAACCATCTGAAAGGGCTCCCAAGGGTAAAGCTGGATTAATATGAGCAACAAAATAACAAAGTTTTGGCTTATAATCCAAACCATAAAATAACCATGAGTCCATACTGATATAAATAAAGGAATAAATTAATTAATGGGAGAGAAGGAACAAATTTCCATTACAGAAGAATTCAAAATAATTTATGTAGATATTCTCCCCTCAAAGAGGTGGAGTAAAACTACTCACTCCTGGAGTACGCGCCATGCTTAACGACTTGTTCCCAGAGTACAGTATAAAAAGAGGGGAAATAACACTATACTAGAGAAACCTGATAAACATCTGTCAGCCAAGTGATCATGGTTAACACCAACTGTGATAAAAGTCAAGTTGATTGCATGTACCCTCGATATGAAAGAATGAGAATGGCACTTCACTTCTGTGGTCTTCCTCCCCAAACACCACTCTAAGAGAAAAACATCAGACAAACTCCAATTGAGGGATATTGTACAAAATACTTGACCAATACCTCCTCAAATACCTGACCGCCTCAAAACTGTCAAGGTCATCAAAAACAAGGAAAGTCTGAGAAACTATCATAGTCAAGAGGAGCCTAAGGAGACAGGACGACTACATGTAATGTGGTATCTTGGATGGGATTCTAGAACAGTAAAAGGATATCAGGTAAAAACTAAGAAAATCTGAATGAAGTATGAATTTTAGTTAATACTGAGTCAATATTGGTTCATCAATTATAACCAATGTACCATACTAATGTAAGATGTTAATAAAAGGGGAAACTGGGTGTGGGATATATAGGAACCATGTACTATCTTTACAACTTTTCAGTAAATCTAAAATTACTCTAAAATAAAAAGTTTACTTATTAAGAAACTAAAAACCTCCAATGCCTCTCCATTTGAATCAGTGATAGCCAGTCCTTACCCCTCACCTCCAGGACTTCATCTCCAATTACTCTCTTGCTCAATGCTACACACACTGGCCCCCTTGCTGGTCCTGGAACTTGCTAGGTAGGCATGCTCCCTTGGCCTGGCTGTTCTTTCTCGTGAAATGCTCCTGATATTCACATGGTTAATTCCCTTATTTTCTTCAATTTTTGGCTCAAATCTAATCTTCTCAATGATGTCTACCCTGATTCCATTATTTAGCCTTTTGACTCACAGTTGTCAGCACCCCCAATGCCTCCTATTCTATTTGATTTTCTTTCCATAGCACTTATCATCTTCTAACAAAATTTGTTTGTTAGGTTTGTTGTTTGTTGTCTGTCTCCATTCAATAGCATGTTAGTTCCACAAGGACAAGGATTTTTTAATTTTGTTTTTGGTCTGTTCTGTCTATTCACAGATGTATCCCAAGCATCTACCTAAAGCAGCACCTGCTATGTAGTAGGCACTCAATTTTTGCTGGATGAAGTTCAGTCTATAGACTTCAGCAGGTGTGACAGTCAAAAGTTATGTTTTAATAAAGTAAAGGTTATTCTTAATAATTAGGCACACAACTCTTGGACTTTGAAGCAACGATACTGTCTTCTACCATACAGTAACTTTTCTCTTGCACAGATGCAAAAATAGGAAAACACATGCATCATATAAAAAGTATGATCCTATTTCCATTAAAAAAGATATGTGAATGAGTGTGTATACACAGAAAAACTCTGGAAGGCTATCAGAAAAACGTTACCCGTGGGGCAGGCTACCAGAGTGATTTTTCCTCTTTTTTCTCCCTGTATTGTCTGATCGTTTTATTGTTCTTTTACAATAACCATGTATATAATTGTTCTTTAAAAAAACGATTTCCCTTCCTAGAGAAACAAGATATCTATTTAATGATAAAGTGGGGAGAGGGAGCACTAGTGAAAACGCAGAACATAGAATCTCCCTTTCAATAAACCGGGATCTCTGAAGGCAAGAAATGTCTCTTCCTTGAACTCAATGCCTAACAAGTGGTAGGCAGCCCTTGTAAGTGCCTTTTGGCAAAAATACGCAGAACAAGCAGCTTTGAGTAGGTGGCGACCAAAACATGGTTGCAGAATCACAAAACTTTAGTAAAACCGCAAATATTTTAACTGCCAACTTCGGAAGGTTCGCCTTCTAAAATGCAGCAATTTAAAATTTAGGCAATTTTGTATTTTCATTAACAAAAAATTAAGTTATGTTCATCTCCAACGGAAAGCCGACGTTATGAATCAAGCAGAAGCACAGAAAATGCTAAAACAAGCTTGAATTCCCTTCCCCAGGCTGTCCATCCCGGGCGGCTCGACCCTGGAGCCGCGCCTCCCGGAACCCCCGGAACTGGACACAGGGTCGGGTCGCCAATGTCCTCTCGGGAGCCCAAGGGACGGGATCGCGACGCAGGCCCACTTAGGTTACTGCGATCCGCAAACTCAGAATGGAACAGGGAAAATCAACCTGCATCTGCATAGGGCTCCCAGATACGTACTCCTGGCAAAAACCCATTACTTTCGGCCACTCACCGCCCACCCCGCAGCGACCCCTAAATAGTGTTCTGCCTGAACTTACCCACCGAGCGGAAGCCGAGCACAGGAAATACTACCAAGCGTTACCCTCATACCCTGCCGTCCAAGAGCTCACGACCCGCGAAGTGGA